TTTACTTGAAAAACTGATATTCCAAAAAATAGTAGATCAAGGTTTTCCCTAGCCAAGGAAAGTGGAGATTAAAAAAAAAAAAAAAAAAAAAAAAAGAGGGAAAAAGGAAGCTATTGAACTTTGACTTTGTCACTCTACAAATATTTATTGAAATTGCAACTAACAGGGGCCAGCACTGTGGCTCACTTGGTTAATCCTCTGGCTGCAGCCCCGGCATCCCACGTGGGCACCGGGTTCTAGTCCCGGTTGCTCCTCTTCCAGGCCAGCTCTCTGCTGTGGCCCAGGAGTGCAGTGGAGGATGGCCCAGGTACTTGGGACCCGCATGGGAGACCAGGAGGAAGCACCTGGCTCCTGGCTTCGGATCAGCACAGTGCCAGCCATAGCAGCCATTTGGGGAGTGAACCAACGGAAGGAAGACCTTTCTCTCTGTCTCTCTCTCTCTCTCACTGTCTGTAACTCTACCTGTCAAAGAAATAAAATCTTAAAAAAAAAAAAAAAAAGAAATTACAACTAACATGAAAACCATAGAAGTCATAAATTAAAGGAAAACATGGCTGTCAGCATTTCTCTGTGATTCAGGCGCGTGGCTCCTTTACAAGCAAACAGAATACATGATTCTTAGGCGCTTTTTTGCTGCAGCTGGAGGTGTGAGTTATTGTTTTCATTCTGGCCCAACTCTCAGGCCACTGAGTCGGCAGTTGAGAGACAAAAAGATTTGCCTTCCCAAAGCCCATGGAATATGTTGAAAGGAAAAGGTACTCCTCCATGAGGGAGGCCACAGGGTCACCGTCCCCATGGTGTCGCACTGCCCCTAAAGGAGTTTTTGAGGGAGAAACAACAAAAACCTAAACCCTGAATATCCTCACTCCTCCATGCAGAATTCCGGGGGTTTGTATGTCTTTCTCATCAAAGAGGTCAGTTTCTTCACTCAAATGATTTTGCCAAAGAAAAGAATCTCGTTTCTTTACATTCTTCTCTCTCTCTCTCTATTTTTAATGTAACTCAAAATAGCTTATGACATCAATGAGGACTTCATAGACTCTCAGTTGACTGAGTGATGTGAAAATTGGCCGTTGTCAGTTGTGTCCCTTGAGCACCTCATTTCTGTAATATCTGAAACTTCATTTTTCTTCCTTGGTTGGCTCGTTCTGTGATCCTCACGTGTGGTCAGGAGCCAGCATTAAAAGCATTGCTCCTGCTGCATCTAAAGGAAGCTGGTGGGCCAGCGCCGCGGCTCACTAGGCTAATCCTCCGCCTGCAGCACCAGCACACCAGGTTCTAGTCCTGGTTGGGGCGCCGGATTCTGTCCCGGTTGCCCCTCTTTCAGGCCAGCTCTCTGCTGTGGCCCGGGAGTGCAGTGGAGGATGGCCCAAGTCCTTGGGCCCTGCACCCCATGGGAGACCAGGAGAAGCACCTGGCTCTTGCCTTCAGATCAGCGCAGTGCGCCGGCCACAGCACACCAGCCACAGTGGCCATTTGAGGGTGAACCAATGGCAAAGGGAACCCCTTTCTCTCTGTCTCTCTCACTGTCCACTCTGCCTTACAAAAAAAAAAAAAAAAAAGGAAGCTGGTAGAGCCTCATCATTTTCTAGAAATAAATGTCTTTCTGGACTTTGAATCCGGATTAAAAGGGACAATGCAGGGAGTTTAGTTCTCACTGGGAACCTGAGCGATTTGCACCTCAACAATTGAACCACATGTTCTTACTGCCTTTCGTGACTCAAGTCAAATGACTCCCACGTTCTGAAAAGCAACATGAGTTTCTTCCATCAGGGCAACTGAGCCGCCAGGCTGTGTCACAGCTGCACCCTAAGTGGGCCCAGGAAGATCAGCTGCACAGACCATCAGGACGGAGGCATGAGAGCAATGGACCCCTGCCCGGCCGGGGGGAGGCTGTGCAGAGAGCGAGCTCAGTGTGGGGAGGGTACAGAGAGCACAGACCCTCCTATCAGGGCTCAGTGGTTGGATTCTCTATCTCAGTAGCAAAAAAGTAGATCAGCAATACAAGTGTACAATGGGATGGAGGGGCAGTGTCGAGAGCAGTGCCAAGATGCGTTCGAGGAGAGAGGATTCCCCTTGTGGTTATTGATAATGTTTCACTGTGGGTACACGTCAAAGCCAGGAAGTGATCACTTAACCATCAGAGTATGAGGCAGAAAAGTATGGGGGGTTCTTTATTCCTTTTTGAGTTTATTCTTTATACCTGGCCACTTCCCCCTTATGGATTTAATGGAGATTATTCCTGAGCTGGCTGTGAACATCAACCTAATCTCCGGATTCTCTCATCCAGCTGCAGGGTAACTGTGCACATGTTTTGGCTTCTAGTCCTTTTTTTTTTTTTTTTTAAGATTTCTTTATTTATTTATCTGTAAGGCAGAGAGATCTTCCTTCCACTGGTTCTCTCTGCAAGTAGTCACAACAGCCAAGGCTGAACCAGGCTGAAGCCAGGAGCCTGGAACTCCATCTGGGTCTCCTGCCATGTAGGTAGCAGGGACCCTAGTTCATGGCCCATCCTCTGTGTCTTTCCCTGGCACCCTAGCAGGGAGCTGGATAAGAAGCAGGGCAGCCAAGACTGAAACCAACACTCCGATGTGGGGTGTAGGAGCCTAAGCTGCCGCTTCACCTGCTGCAGCACAACGCCTGTCCCTTGGTCACTGGTGACCCACCTAGCCCCCAAAAGGCTTTTTCTCTCCATTGTTACCAGGCGCTACCCTTCCCGCCTCCTAATTTGTGTGGCTGATTTCAGTGAAGGAGAAAGCCCACTTCACTCCATTGTCTCCGCCACATCCCAATGGCCTGGGTGAAAGTGACAGCACGTGGACGGTGCCCTCACCCACAGGCTACCAGAGGACACTGCATTGCTCCTAAAGGAGCTGACTCCTTTTTCCACAAAGGAAAAAATGCCAGACTGACTCTGAGGGATCAAATCTGCCGGGCGTAAAGCTCTACAGAGGCGATGCCGTGGGAGAGAGCTGAGTGCTTAGAAATAACAATGCCAAATAGCCCCACACTTTCCAGTTACATCACAAAGAATGGGAACACCTGTAGACTGTGCATGCGTGAAACTAACAACTGATGCCGAAAAGTCTACTCAAATAATACTACTTTAATACTCTCCTGAAATCAAAATTCTTTTTCATGGGTAGGGGAAGACTGGTGAAGATTAATACTTAATTAATGACTCCACGAAGTAGGACCTTTCTCAACATTTTCTCAGGGTATTTTCTCTATAATTTTCTTTTTCTAAGGAAATGCAGTTTGGGATGGTGGGGTGGGAAAAGGGACACTGAGCATGTTTGATTCAAATGAAAGCTTGTTTTCTTTTCATTGAAATGATATAGGGAGCAGCAAAGAGCCATGCTTTCCAAGGAACCTCCTGTAAACATGGCCACGGTAGAAAAATGGTTCGATTGCATATGTAAATAGTCCTCAGTGCAGAACATCCATCTTAGTGTCACGTGTAATTGAATTCAGCTGATAAATAAGCCTCACATCCCTCCTTTATGAGAAAAAAGTAATATGGATTTTACCTGTAATAAGTTCAAGAGCTTGGAAAAGTTCTGCATGATTTGCATATAGTGTAAATAATTGAAGAATGTGAACCACTGTTTCAAAATGCAAACAAGTGTATTTTCAAAATGAAACTACCTACGCTATATTTTTAAATATTTCATTTGAACGTTATTTTGACAGCAGAAAAGTATTAAAGTAATCAGCAAGTCATGAAAACAGGAAATGTTCGCAGGAATAAGGACTACAAGTAAATAGATAAACTAAAAAGAAAAAATACAGATTACTCCTGAGATAGTAGAAGGACTATTTAATAGGGTCTGAAAGTTAAAAATCACTCAATTATTCATACATAGTGTCAAATACAGTAAGTTACTAGAGTCCAAAGCAAATATATATTGGAAGGAAGAGGACACTTGAAACCAGGAGCTGTGGATGAGCCTCCATTGATTGATTTACTGCATTTACCCCTTCCTAGGGTATCTAAAATTCAGAGAGGAAACCCTCAGTTTTACTGAGGTGAAGAATATAAGGTAGAATTTAGGGTAACAACGAAAGTCAAGGAAATAATTCTCAGAAAGAAGAGAGTCAGAGAACAGGGGCTCCAAAATATGTGTATGATCTTGTGTCTGGTCTTTGGCTGACGTCCTAACCATGGGTAGGCGAAGTCCAAACGCATAGCTAAGTCTGACATAAATACCACCAGCTCAGGGAATTTGCAGATTGGATTTAGCCAGCTCTGCCTACTGAAACAAACTAACCCAGATCAGAAGACTTCAAAGCCATGCAACAGAATATGGGGCATTGTATTAGGCACTTTAAATAATAATTAACTCTATAAGATAACAATATGTAGTTCTAATTCTCTACAAGTGTAGCTCCTATAACTGCACTGAATACTTGGCGAGAATGCCTACCTAACGGTGCCCAGAGAGGACTTGACAAACACTTGGATCCCAATGTAGACACCAAGGCTCCCATAGGACAATGAAACCATGAACATCATCATCTAGGTTCAGCAGCCTGGCTCCTGGTCCTCAGACAAGAGATCTATCACCTGATTTGTCCCTCTTTATTGCTAATGAAACATCACCAACAGAGCACTGGCCTTCAGGACCAGCACTAAAAACGTCTGGGTTGTTTAGGGCCATAGAAGTCATGTCACGACTCCTCGGATTCTCTCTAAATTTACAATCACTATGCACAAAATGAACCTGTCTAGTCCACATCGATCCCCAGAATGTAATGGGGAAAGAACATTTTTGGACTGGGCTTCCATTGGCCTCTCTGGCAATTCATATGCAATACCAATGATGTGAACACTCACCCTGACCTGTGGATCCAGGCGGCACCACATGTTGTCAGGTGCTGGAGGCAGCTGCCCTGCCAGCCCAATGCAGACACCTCGGCCTGTGTTCACACACACCCCCTGTTCATTGCCAGATCTTCGCCTGTGTCTTGCACTGAGCATCTTCATTTCTCTCTGACAGGTGAGCTGCAAGGTTCTGCATTTTTTCCACCAGTACATGATGTCCTGCAACTATTTCTGGATGCTCTGCGAAGGGATCTACCTGCACACGCTGATCGTGGTGGCCGTGTTTGCCAAGCAGCAGCACCTGCGCTGGTACTACCTCCTGGGCTGGGGTAAGCACCTCCTCGGGCTGAGTCCTCAGCTACTTTTGCCTCTGTGCGTCTGTGCGTCCAGTCTACATCTTACTCCAAGTCTTCAAGGAATGATGCTATGCAGGGATTGCCAGGAGCTCCGTCTCAGAGAGAGCTTGGTGGAAGCCCTTTAACGGTGTCCATCAAGCTGTGACCAATTGCGGGTCAGCACAGAGAAGGGAGGGTATGACCATGAGTGTGTCTTCAGCAGATGAACCCGGCTGGGGCATGGACACAGACCCAAGCTGAGACGAGACCTGAGGAGGCCCCCTTCTGCCTTACCGGTTGCGCGTTTGTACAGCACAGGAGAAGTTCATGCTGTGTACAGTGGACCTCCCCCACCCTGGCCCCAGATCCCTTTCAAGGATGTTTCTTCCTCGTGAAAGGTCTGGAAGTGGAGTGGAGCTGCCAAACAGAACCACAGGGGCCTCCAAGCAGAGACTTGCTGACGTCATCGAACGTGACAGGAGCTGTGAGAAGCCCAGGATTGAATTGTTCAGGCTGTGGCTGCTTCTGTCCACACTAGATAGGGGCGGAGATCCCTCGGGATTCGAATTCCCACCTCCCACCCCCACCCAGGGCACCCAAGATGCATCTACTGGAGGGGGTGGGGGCAGACAGCGAGGACTGGGGAGGGGGGGAGGCACTGGGACTAGAACACAGCTGCCCTATCCAAATAGACGCTGACACTGAACCCAGGAGCCATCCCACACTCACCAGAGCGCCCAGGGCCTTGCTCCCTAAATCCACTGATGGGGCGGCTGTGACTCTGAGCAGAGGCTGCGCATGGCCTTCCTCTAAGGCGGCCCTTCGTGCACCGGGGTGAGCAGCCAGCACCCCGATCTGACCAGAACGCAGTCAAGATCGCCTTTGATCATTTGTGCTTTTTGCTCCAGCTTCCACAAGAGGCTAACCTTTCCTTCACGGGCCCCCTCCTCCTCAGGCACGCTTCGTCAGTGGCTTCTGGACTTCCGAATCTGGTCATGCCAGCAATCACCTGGAAGTGATTTAATCCCCCCAACAGCAATTGTGCAATTCTGATTATCACAGTGATGATATTGGTGCTGAACAAATGCCTTCCAGTTGAAGAAAGTTACTCTCTCTCTCTCTCTCACACACACACACACACACATTTCCGGCATACATATTTTACTTATCTCCTTTAATACGAAATTTCTGGCAGAGTCCTCAAACCAGTGTTGACTATTCAAAAACATCTATGTGCAGCACTCGGAGAATTCTCCACAGGAGAAAAAGCACTGCACCTGTATTCTTGCCTGTGACACTCAGTGGAGATGAGGGTACCTGGAAGGAACAGCTGATACTGCTCTTTCCAGACGGGGCACCGTGAATTACTTGGGACACCTCATCGCAGACACCTCAGTGAAGACATCTTAGCACGGGTAACCAACACAGAGCAGAAAGGGAAAGCTGTTCTGCAGTGAGAAGAAGGCAGCAATAATAAGTAAAATATTTATGTGACACCTTACCCTGCCCTAATCAGCAAACACTTCACACCTCATCAGAACAGTCCAGGTAGGATCCTAAAGAGCCTTACACTCAGGGAGGTGAGCACGGGACAGGCAGCTGCTACTCAATACACAGTCAACATAACACAAGACAAATAAGTCCTACAGAGCCTGTGCAACACTGTGCCTCCGAATCAGCATTGCCCACTTAAGAACCTGTTCAAAGGATAGATATCATGTTGTAATGAAATTAAAAATTCTAAAATGAGGATTTACACTTTGATAGATTTTTAGATAGACAGTTAACCAAATGATTCTAAGATGTGACTTTAACTTATGGCTCAGTCTTTCATTCTCCACTGCCACACACAAATATGCCCCAAAATTCTGAGCATTTTTCAAAAGGTGGTATTTGAGAGATGAAGTGGGGAGGGGAGAAAGAGCAAGAACATGCTTGCATCTACTGCTTCACACCCCAAATGCCTGCAATGGCCTGGGCTATGCCAAACTAGCCAGGAACCAGGAACTCAATCCAGGTCCCCAATGTGGGTAGGAGGAACCCAATTACTTGAGCATCACCACTGCCTCCTGGGTGTGCACTAGCAGGAAGCTGCAGAAAGGGGTCAGGGCCAGGAATCAAACCTGGGCAAACCAAGGTGGAACACAGGCATCCAAAATAGTGTCGTAGCTGCTCGGCCAAATGCCCACCCCCACCACACTTTTTAATCATTGAAAAAATTACAGTGCCAAATATGTTTTTTAAAAGATTTATTCATTTGAAAGAGCTACACAGGGAGAGAAGGAGAGAAGAGGAGAGAGAGAAGGGGAGAGGGAGGGGAAGAGGGGGAGAGGGAGAGAGAGGGAGAGGGAGAGGTTAGTCTGGTTCACTCCCCAATTGGCCGTAAGGGCCAGAGCTGCACCAATCCTGAGCCAGGAGCTTCTTCCAGGTCTTAACAGGTGGGTGCAGGGGCCAAGGACTTGGGCTATCTTCTGCTTTCCCAGGCAATAGCAGAGAACTGGATCAGAGTGAAGCAGCCGGGACTCGAACCAGTGCCCATATGGGATGCCGCCATTGCAGGAGGCAGCTTTATTCGCTATGCCACAGTGCTGGCCCCCACGTGACATGTTTAAAGAAATAGCCTCTTAGAATATTTGACAAGCATTATCTTTGGATGCAAGGAAAATGACTACCAAAAGCTTCTCAAGAAAAAGTAGTATCTAAAGAATGGAATGGAGGGGCAGGCGCTGTGGTGTAGCAGGTGAAGCCAATGCCTATAGTGCCAGCATCCCCTGTAGGTGCTGGTTCGAGACCTGGATACTCCACTTCCAATCCAGCTCTCTGCTATGGCCTGGGAAACAGAGAAAGATGGCCCAAGAGCTTGGGCCCCTGCACCTGTGTGAGAGACCTGGAGGAAGCTCCTGGCTTTGGATCAGCACAGGTCTGGCTGTGAACCAGCAGATGGAAGACCTCTCTCCCTCTGCCTCTGCTTCTCTGTAACTGTGCCTTTCAAATAAATAAATAAATAAATCTTTTTAAAAAATGTAATGGGGCAGAGAAGAAGAAATCTTTACTAGATAATATTTTAATTGTTCATCAAAATTATCACAGTAAAACAGTTTGGTAGGTTGCAAATCTTATAATGTCCATAAAAAATGGCATAACCTATACTTTGTAAAGATTCTTAAACACTGGGCTACACCAAAAAATGAATTGACCCCAAAAAACTATATCCTGAGTCCTCAGTTTGTTTACAGGTAATATAAATTCCATCTACCCATTTCAGCTGAGAATAATGTTATCAACACCAGGGTCTGGAAAGAGCTCAAAGAATTATGAAGCATCGTAAACATCACCCAGGGTAAACAAGTATTTGGGGGTGAAATTCTCCCCAACAGAAAAATGAAAGAATGGTTCTCTCCGAAGTTACTCTTCCAAGTCTGCATGGCACCATTTAGTAGTTGGTTCTCCTCGAATTGAAGCAACTTCAGAAAAATCATTGATTTTATAGCATTCTTCAGATTGATTCTTCACTTTGCTGGTTTCCTCTTTCCTATAAATCAAAGGAAGGAAATTCCCCCATGAATGTTTATGTCAAACAAACAGAATTTGTCTCATCTCCCTAAAACAAAGACTACTGTGGAGAGAGGATCATTCTTATCCTCGTCACCTTTAATGGGTAGGATGAGTTGTTATTGATCTTAGGGCCTGTGGGGAACAGAGGAGGAAGAAAAGAAAGGCTGCATAAAAAGAGGGAGAAGGAAGCAGAGACGCCCACTGCCCTCATAACACACACACACACGTTAAAAGATGCAGGTCTCTTCTCCCCTCCCTGTTAGGTGGGAAACACCCTTCCCTTTCTACAAGATGCCGGGACTTCCACATACCTCTCCTGCTGTCTCATCCTGAAGTATGTCTTTCATCATAATTCCAAAGATTGAGTTTCTGAATCCAGATGAGGAAATGGAATGTGAGAAGTTCTATAGACAACAGACTCATATTTTGTGTAAAAAAAAACTCAAATATAAAAGTTGGGGTTATTCTTAGGTTAAAAACTCTAGCCTTTGAGACCTTTTTCATATAATTTTTAGAAACATGGATAGGGTTCTCTTCTGGACACATTTCTTAATCTGACAATAACAAAAACAGAAATTTCTACAGATGGAGCAATCAAATCAGAAAATATTCATTTGCACAAAGGTACATCTCAGTAGAAAATCTTTATGAAAATTACACAGAATAAGATGTATTTTTAAAATAATTGACAGGCTGCATTGTTAGTATCTGCATTGATGAATTTACTAATTCCAAGTTGATTTGTACCAGTACCTTGGGATTAGTCAGGGAAGTGGACACTAACCTGGGTATACTCCTAAAGTTTCAGTAGCCAGAACTTACAGAGAGTAGGGGCAGCACTGGCTTCCCTGCAGCACTGGTGTTAAAAGGAAGCAGGATCAATGCATGTGTTAGCATCAGAAAACAAAAAGCCAGAAGAAATAATGTGAACATTATTTCTCTGTATACCATTGTTGCTTAGGAGCAACGAGACTGAGACTGTGGCTTTCATATGATGTCCAGAGTGTACATCTATCCAGAGTGCCCCAGCTTCTGTTCATAAGAAAGCCACGTTCACCCACAGTGGAAAGACATTCTGGTCTCAGTTTAATCATCATTATCATCACCTTCATCCCGATCACAGGCATCACAGTGGTAGTCATAGTGTGAGCAAAAGAGTGCCTGCTTACTCTACCGGGTCATTTGCTAAAGGCTTTTGGTTGGATATTCTTAACCAAACTCTGAAAGTACATGACCTTCTAACCAGGAACAGTTTTACCTGGCATGGTGAAGGAAAATTTATACGACAACATTGAGGGGGTATCTTGAGAGAAACCACTAATGGGCAACTATTTTTGCAAGTATACTAACATCTTCCATGCAATTATAATTACGACTGGTGACCAAGAGGCCAAGTGTGATGTGTACTTTTCACTTTCAGGGTTCCCACTGGTGCCAACCACTATCCACGCTATTACTCGAGCAATCTACTTCAATGACAAGTAAGCATCATAGACTTTCTATGTTAGCGTATTCGTGGGTGAAAGGTGTCTGCATTGACCTGGTCCCTTCTGATTTTTCAGCTGCTGGATGAGCGTGGAGACCCATCTGCTTTACATCATCCATGGCCCAGTGATGGCAGCTCTGGTGGTGAGAACTGCTTTTTAAGTTCATTATTACTAAAGTTCTCTCTTGGTTGGGATTTCTGTATATAACCTATATCCTATAATAACTTAAACTAATTGAATGACATTCTATAACAACGACGTGATTTTAGAGTCTTTAAAAAAAGCCTTTTGTCCACACCTAGGTGGATGGGTTATATAGTATAGTTGCTGCACACACTATAGCAGCTCTGCAGCTAGTTTTTAAAAACCTCTATAACTAGATTCTTCAAGGTAAAGGTGAAGGCCAAGGGGCTACAAGAAAGGTGAAAAGGTGTTGCTGATAAAAAGTGAGAGACCGTAGATTCACCCCCTATGCCGTTTTCCTCAGGTTCTGCAAAACAAAGCCATCTCTGCTTCATCTTTGGTGCGTGGATCCGCTGGTCAGGCATTGCCCATACATTGCCTTGTGGTTCCTAACACCAGCCCTCTTGTATCAGGAGGGCTCACTCTTTAGAAAAGACTAGAGTGACCTCAAAGTCACAGAATAGTAAGAGGTTGGGATGTAGAGAGATGCAGACGTTTGTTAAGTCTACTCATGGTTTATGTCATGTTGACCACATCAGAACCATTAAATGTAGTATTTAGATAATTTCCTATTAATCTCAAATACAGCATTTTCTTCAGTCAAGGGTGAGAATAAAAGCAGTCTTAAGTCATGGACTAGATTCTGCCTCTACACTCAACAAGCATCATTAGTAATTCATCAGACTAGGTTATCATTCCAGACAGTCTTCTAATTCTCCTGGCCTTAGCGTCTCCAGAGCAGTGATTTACTCGTTAGCACAACCATTCTCGTGAGGACCCACTAACCTGAGTCTTGAACCTGTGCAGCACACAAGAATTCAACTATTATCCAAGTTCTCTTTTCTTGAATTTTTTGGGGGTACCATTAATTTCTGTTCCATGTAGAAAAAATTACTCATACCACTCTTAAATTAGCAATTAAATTTGAAAAACAAACTTTTTCAAAACTAGCCTTCCCAGCCAGAAAGAGAAGTTTGTGACCCAGAATATATTTCTTATTTTCTTTTTTTCTTCAATTTCTCTAGACAAATAATTTTGTCTTTTGAACCAATCCATATAATACTGATCAAATATTAGTTTTATTTTTGTAAGATGTATTATATATTCTGTTTTGATCTTTGATATTGTCTTGTAAATGGGTACCCTTATTGCACCTGATAAAGTAATTTTTAATATCTTTGGTATACAGAGAAATGTGCTATGTGAAATTCATTCTTTCACCCAAAGTTTCTGCTAAGGAGAAGTTTGTTGTAAACATCTAGGATCTTTGAGAAGTTCTTCACATTTATCAGATCCTCTTTGACATGCCCAAGTTTTAGTTTGGTGAAATTAGGGTTCAGAAATTTCAACATTCAACACAAGCTCAGTGAGGTGGTGATTCTTGGGGAGTGAACCAGCGGATGGAAGACCTCTCTCCTTCTCTCTGTGTAACTCTTTCAAATAAATCTTTAAAAAATATTGGTACATACTAAATAATACTCCATTTCTGTGTAATGGAGATAGCAGGTCCCTGAGGTGGAGTGTTGAATGCAGGGCAGTGGGAGGGAACTGCTGGAGTGATGTTCTTTATCTTCTTTGGAGCAGTTGTTACCCAGGTTCATATTTGCCTAAACTCAAGTCTAAATTTTTCAGTTTTCATTTCACCGTCAGTTAAGCCATCTTTCCTAAGTGGAAAAATATTGATAATGAAAAGGGAAGATTTCGAAGTGCGTGTCATCTGCTCGGCTAGATCAGTCGGTAGAGCACGAGACTCTTTTTTTTTTTTTTTTTTTTTAATTTTTTATTTTTTTTATTTATTTATTTTTTTTAAACTTTTATTTAATGCATATAATTTTCCAAAGTACGACTTATGGATTACAATGGCTTCCCCCCCATACCGTCCCTCCCACCCACAACCCTCCCCTTTCCCACTCCCTCTCCCCTTCCATTCACATCATGATTCATTTTCGATTGTCTTAATATACAGAAGATCAGCTTAGTATACATTAAGTATGGATTTCAACAGTTTGCTCCCACACAGAAACATAAAGTGAAAAATAATAGATGATTTTTTTAAATGATGATGAAATCAGAGCAGACCTATTGTCATGTTTAATCCCAGTGAGAGTCAAGTTGGG